CCGGGGGCTTGCGGAAGGCTGTCCTCGCAGGCTGGGGCGTCAGGCTTGGCCGTCCGAGGCTCCACCCTCATCGGGGGGGTCCCTGGGGTTCCCAGAGCCCTCGGCATTTCCTCTGCGGGCTCGACCCCGTTCTCTGTCGTGTCAGAATGAAGACGTGCTGAAGAAGTGCGCACAGGAGTACCTGTCCCGCGTGAAGAAGGAAGAGCAGAGGTACCAGGCCCTGAAGGTGCACGCGGAGGAGAAGCTGGACAGGTAACGGCCGGGCTGCCCCGGGCTGGGTGGCAGCTGCGGTCGCGTCCCTGACGCGGGCCGGCCAGCGGGCGCCCCTTTAGCACGGCTCGGTGTGGTTCGAGACGCGATCGCCCTCAGCGAGCGCTGTGAGGGGTGTGTGCTGCGATGTTCCGGACGCCCACTCAGAGCCCCCGGCATCCTGGGAGTGGGGTTCGGGATGGGGGTTCTCGTGGGCGCCTGTGCTGGGCCTTCGCTGGTGGGAGCTGGAGCCGGACAGGTCCCCCTGCCCAGAGTTGGGAGACGCCTACGGGGAGGGTGATCGTTTCTGAGCGCCACGTCCCCCGTCCCCACAGGGCCAATGCTGAGATCGCCCAGGTCCGGGGCAAGGCCCAGCAGGAGCAGGCCGCCTACCAGGCCAGCCTGCGGAAGGAGCAGCTGCGGGTGGACGCCCTGGAGAGGACGCTGGAGCAGAAGGTAACGGGCCAGGCGCGGCGGCCTTCAGGCAGGCAGGGCTGGCGGGCCCCTCGGGTCCCGGTGCTGGGGACCTTTCCATTTCTGATCTCATTGAATTCTCGGAGACGGATGTTATTCACATTTTAGAGAGAAGGAAACCGAGGCTCAGAGAGGTCATGTAACTTGCCCAAGGTCACACAGCGAGAGCTGGGATGTAGTAGATTATTTGGCACCACGTCATTTCTCAGGGGGACCAAGAGGCCTGAAGGTCCCCGTGCCCCTAAAATGCCAGTGGCCGTTCTGCTCGGCCGTTCAGACCCCCGAGAGATTTCAGCAGCCGTGTTTTTCGTCTTCACTTGCAGAATAAAGAAATAGAAGAGCTCACCAAGATTTGCGACGAACTGATTGCCAAAATGGGGAAAAGCTAACTCGGAGCCAAACGCCTGGCCTTGACCGTTGCGTGCAATAGGAGCGTCGGCACACTGCTGTCCACCCGCCCAGGCCCGACGGGCTCTGTTCTCTCTTCCGTATGCACTACTGTGTTCCCCTCACACGTAACGTTGATCTGATTGTATGCAGTGCTAAGGAGACTATCAGAACTGCTTGCTATCGGTTTGTGTTTTTCCTAGTTTGATTCGTAGCAAGTTGACCTCAGAGTTCCTGTATCAGGGAGACTGTCTCATTCTCTAATAAAAGACACATCGCTGACCTTGGCCTTGCCCTTGTCCCTGAGTTCCCAGGGAGCGGCTTTTGGATTTAATACGAACATGTACAGCTTGCACAGGGACTCTTGCCTTAAGGAGTGTACACTTGATCTGCGTTTGCTGATTTGTTTAAAAAAAACAATGCATGTTTCAAATAAAATTCTCTATTGTAAATAAATTTTTTTTCCTTTGGATCTTGGCAATACGAGTGAGTGGTTGTGATTTATTTTTCTGGGGAGGGTTGAGCCTTTCCTTTCCTTTGTTCAGTGCTATCAGATTTGGCCTCTCACTCCTCTCTGGGCTCATTTCTTTGTGGGTTTAAGTAACATTTGTGGCTGTGTTGGTAAGTAGAGACTAATGAGAAATACTGACTTGCTATTAAATAATTCAGTGAATGTATGGAATTAACTTGGGTTCTCTTTTTACAAAGTCTGGCTTTAGGGGGCAAAACTATTTCCCTCTATCGGCTGGAGGGAGCAGCAGGCCGTCACTCTGTCTGTCCCCTCTGTGTGTGCAGGTCAACCCCGAGTGTCCTTTCCCCTCTAAAGGGCGAGGAAAGGGGATCAGTTTCTGGTGGGAGGTCATTTTCGGCCACTCCGGAGAGTAAACTAAGTAAACAAGCTTGCCATTAGATTCCTTAGTTGCTGCTGACCCTGCTGGAGACGCCAGGTTGAAGGGTGGGTG